TCAACCTCTCTACTCCACCTTACTTCCTCTCATTTTATCTATTATTTATTTATATTTATATGCATGTGTGTGCCTCTCTCTGTGCGTGTGCCACATATATGCAGGTACTTACCGAGGCCAGAAGAGGGCTTTGGATCCCTGGAGCCAGAGTTATGGGCAATTGTGAGCCCCCTCCTATGGGTGCTGGGAACTGTGCTTGGGTAATCTGCAAGGGTAGCAAGAACTCCGAGCTGACATGCCATCAGTCTAGCCCAGTCCCTCTTGTTTGAGGAGCTAGACTTTCTGAAGCCCTCTTTCTGTTTAATCTCTGATCAGGTAAGCACTTTCATATACATAGGTTGAGTCTTACCCTATTCCGACTTTGGAATGTAAAGACGAGTAATATTCCACCCAATCCTTCCAAGTCAGAGCCTGGGATTCTATCTTTTCTTCCTCCTTTAAGGTTTATTTTTAATTTTATGAGTGCCTGAGCACCATGAGCATGCCTGGCACCCACAGAGGTCAAAAGAGGGCATTGGACCTCTGGAACTGGAGTTACAGACGGTTATGAGCTGCCATGTGAGTCCTGGGAATCAAACTCAGGTCCTCTGGAAAAGCAGCCAGTGCTTTTAGCCACTGAGCCATATTTCCAGCCCTGGATTCTACTGTGGTATCTTATTTATACTATAACAAATAAAGCTTGCCTGAAGATCAGAAGGCAGAGGTAGCCACTAGTTAACCATGGAGGTCTGGAGGTCTGTACAGCCAGACAGGAAGTGATATGGCTTGGTGGAGAGAGGAATATAAAGTGGGAGGAGATAAGAGGCCAGCCCTTTTCTGCTGAGGAGTTAGCAAAGTAAGAGCTGGCTGTGACTTTCTTTATCTCTTAGATCTTTCAGTATTTACCCCAATATTGGGCTCCGGGTTTTTATTATTAAGACCAATTAGAACTCATGCAACATTCTATCATTTTTAAAACAGCAAATTACACTACTCCATCCAATGGCCATGCTTGATACTCTGAGGATCTCACAAATGCTTGTTAAACTATTTTCCTGTGGAGACTGGAGAAATGAGAGAAGAGAGGCTGTAAGCACAAATCTCTGCTGACACTTCGGAAGGAAAATTACCATGGGGAGGATTGCTTTATTTCATATGTAAATTTGTCAAAAAATAAAAACAAACACAATTTCCAGAAAGCTAAACATACTAATGCAATAAAGAATGACAGTACCAGAAAGATGGAGTAACTTATCTGCTTAGACTTGCTGCACAGAGTATAATTCAGAGACCGAACACAAACGCAAACCTACATGTCATAGTTACTCCTCAATTGCTGTGAAGAGACACCATGACAAAGGCAACTTATAAATGGAAGCATTTAACTGGAGGCTTGCTGAGAGTTTCAGAGGGTTAGCCATGACCATCATGGAAGGGAGCATGGTAGGAAGATGAGACGTTGGAGTAGCGAATAAGAGCTTACATCTGTTTTGCAAGTTGTAGGCAGAAAAGAGAGACACTTGGTCTGGTGTGGGCTTTTGAAACCACAAAGCCCATATTCAGTGACACACCTCCTCCAACAAGGACACACCTCCTAGTCCTTCCCAAACAGTTCCACTAGCTTAAGACCAAGCAACCAAATATATGACCGTATGAAGGGTCATTCTCATTCAAACCACCACACCATACACTAGCCAATGAATTTTGATTTGCATATCATTAATATGGGTACCTCAAACTGGCAGCTGTGTGTTGTGGCTCAACCCATGAATTCTATCATTACTGATAGAATCTTCATGGAGATTGTATTAGACAGCCCTCAAGAGTCTTATTTCTTCCCTGATTTCACCAGGTTAGAGCTCTGAAACTTGGGCTTGCAGATTCTTGGCATTTGGCAATTTGTTCTCTCTCCCTGGGTATCCTCCTGATGTCTTCCTAATTAGCTAAAGATAATTTGGAAGGTAAACTTTGTGGTACCACCAGACAGAACTACAGCAATAAAAGTCCTGTTCCAAACCTACACGTCTGCAGAAAGATATAAATTTTGGTTTTCATTTGACTGGCTCTCATGAGGTAGAAAACAGGCAAGCCCTTTTTATGTTGAGCTTTGTGTCTCCAGGGCCAATCATCCTTGACTATGGACTCTGTGAGGGGTAGGAGCTGCGACCTCCTCACTGTGGAGCCCTGTCTCTTGGGCATCAGGGTCTGACTTAGCACTCAGGAAATGTTTGCTCAACGGAGGGAGAACTAGAAGACTGGCCTCATGGAGGTACCTCGTGGAGAGTTTTTGTCAAATAATAAAAGATTAATGGTCAGTGTGAGGAAAGCCATAGCCACACATGAATGACCCTGGTGGAAAGACAGCCCTATGGCCTCCTCTTGATCTAATGTCTGCTCACTTGTTGGTTTCTGCTGCTAGCCATCAGTTCTGTTTTTAGCAAAACCCCTTCAAAAACAGTCATCAGGAAGATCAGTTTGTAACCTACCCCTGTGAGAGACAAAACCTTAAAGGAAAAGAAACTCCCAGTTTCCAAGTCCCCCAGACATTAATACACATGGCAACATGAGTGTTCTGGCAGAGTTAAGACTTAATAAGTCTTAAGACTACCCAGTCCTTTCTCTGGAAGCCACAAATTTGACTTACACAGTGGGCTTCCCTGTGAGCTTACAACCAACCTCTTGTGTCCAGCTGCTGGAAGACTCTGGGTTTCAATGGGCATTGCTATCACAGGCATCCCACAGCCTCAAGGGCATGGCTTCTACAGACTTTAGTGTCCTCGCAAGGCCCCTGTCCCAGGGCTGAAGGCTAGGCTATGGAGTGAGGGAGGGGCATAAGCAGATTCCTTCTATGTTCAGCAAAGGCCCTTGGATGACAGGGTAGCAGTAAAACTGTCATGCTAGCCAAAACTTTATTTCCGTTCCAGTGAGTCATGTGGTCTCTGTACAAGTTTGGCTTTGTGCTTGTGTAAATGTTAACTTTTGTCAAGATGTTGACAAAACAAATTGCCCAGTATTAACTGTAATCTGTCCTTCACATAGTCCTGGAGAGACGTAGAGCCTTGCTTCCTACTGTCTTGGTCTGTTTGGGTTACAGTGGGTGGATTAAAGATGGCAAGCCTTTATTCCTCACAGCTGATCTGAGAAGTCCAAGACCAGAGCACCTGCAGGTTTGGTGTCTGGGAGCTTTCTTCATTTAAGAGGCATCTGGACATAATTATCTCCAATGATGTAACCTCCAAATCCTCTCACATCAGGGTTCAGGTGCTAAGATAAACTTGGGCGTGGGGACATGTACACATTTGGTTTCTAACATCTATGAACAGATAGTTGCCCCCTGTTATGTGGTTGCTGGGAATTGAACTCAGGACCTCTGGAAGAGCAGCCAGTGATCTTAACTGCTAAGCCACCTCTCCAGTCCAAGTATACAGTGTTATAGTCGGAATGTGAGGTGTCCTTCATAAGCTCATGTGTTGGAACACTTGGTCCCCAGCTGATGGCACTATTTGGGAAAATTATGGACTTATAAGGAGATGGAGCCTGGCTGGAGGAAGTATGTTGTTGGGGTGAGCTTTAAGGCTTTTTAGAATGACTCTACTTCCAAGTCTGCTGACATATGCAAAGGGCTAGCCTCATGCTTCTGTTACCATTTCTACCCTGCCATGATGGACTGTACCCCTCTGGAACTGTGGGCCAAAATAAGCCCTTTCTCTCCACAGGCTGCTTTTGCTGGGGTATTTAACCACAGCAACAGAAATGAAATACACGGAAGTTTGGAATGCTTTCTGACCATGCTCTGCCAGGAGGATTTGGCCATACACATGCCTTCTCTAGCTCCGAGACTGTCTACAGCCATTCCTTGGGCAGAAGTAGGCATCACTATTTCCTTTTGTTTGATCCTTTCATTTGTCTCAAAGAGTCGAGAGCCACCAGCATCCAGGAAGAAGGAAAAGGGAAATCCTCCACCACCGGGGTTTCTGGATGGGTTTAGTACTTGTAGTAGCCGCTGTCCCACGGAACACCTCATGGCAAGCATTTTATAGGATCTCTACATTTAATCCTCTTCAGTGTTATGTGACAGGGGCTTTGGGCTCAGTTATGGAAATGTAATTTAGTCCTCTTTGCAGAGTAGCAGGAGGAGGAGTTAAAAATTGCCCCTTGAGCCTTTGAGTATTTCTGTAAAGACCTGGAGAGAATTTCAGCAAGTTGAGGGTAGGGCAGTGAAAAGCAGCTCAGAGATGCTGCCCGAGTTTGAATGGCAAAGGTTTGTGACCATTAGGCCCATGGATACCCCAGAAACATTCAAAGTTAATTTGCTTGTCTGTTGGGTTTCCTTACCTCTACTCTAATTTCCTTGTCTCATTTTTCTGTTTTCTTACCTCTTCGCTTTGAATTAGCCCATCACGGCTCATCTGGGTCTTGACCATCCTGTTTAGATACGAGCTGATGACATCGTGTCTTGGCATTTTCTAGTGGGAGAAAATGCTTGGCCTTGTTCATGGACTAAGTCACATTTTCGGGGCTGGTCCACCTATGAGTCTGTAGCTCCTGGGTCAAGTATTCCAGCCAATTAAAAGGCAGAGGGCAGAGCTGGCAGGAACCCCGAGTCTCTGGGTAGGACTCACACAAGGCAGACTTCATGGTTACTGTGTATAGTACACGGTGGGATAACATAATTATTGGAAGCTCATCTCCCAAGACCATTGCCCTCAGTTCTCTGTGGATTCATCAGGAGCCCTTGACCTCACTGGGACTTCTTTACGTTCTGGAAAGCACACCCTAACAGACGCTGGTTTCTGCCTGGAGCCCCAAATTGCTTCTGAGGACATGGGAACCATACAAAAGTCAGAATTTATTTCTTGCCCATGATCCCATGCCCAGCAGATATGACTTCTGAGATCGCAAGGGGCTTGAGGGCTGCCACTGCTCTCTAGTGTTAACCCCCAGAAGGCACTGTTGTGTAGATGGTTGTGAAAGAGATGCTCTTACATCATCTGGAGGAGATGGAATGAGAAGCAGGCAGGTTTTGGGGTATGAAAGCCTTTGTCATTTTATTTTACAATAAAAAATTCTAACAGCGTATGAACACTCTGTTCCCGGCAGAGGCAAAGGACGTACAAAGTTAATTAGAAAGCAAAGCATTGAAATAACAACAGCTACATTCAAAGCTCCTGTTCAGTACTTTGCCCAGTGCATCCAAAGTGGTTTGAGAGCATCCCAGTCTGGGTTTTTCCCAGCCAGAGTCAAAGCACGCGTGGAAACACTTCCATACCCTCCAAACCACAAGCGACCAACAACGATAACAGCAACTCCATGTGGGAATTACAAACTGCAAAATTCCTTTCCTTTTCCTTGGTAAGAAGTTGTGTCATCGAACACATGATAACATAAATTAACTCAGTGGGTAGCAGGAGCTGGATCAAACCGAACTGGGAAACGAATGTTTTCCATAGCAAATTCTTCCGATATGCTTTCCAAACCATGTTCAGACACATTACACATGCTCCTCACGACCGCCATGGTGGGTAGGAAGGACAGATGCTAGTCCTGACCCATGACGAGTTACAGACTAGTTCAAAGTGAGTCACTCGAGTTCCAGAATATTTACACCTTCTCAAAATTTCCAGTCCAACACCACTCCTATTCTCTTGTTTGGTACATTTCCCTTTTCTTTTCTCTCCTTCATTTATGTGTGGGTGGAGGAGAGTTTAGACCCAAAGAAGAGATGAGCGAGAGGAAGGTGAGACCGGGGTTAATTTATGTAAAGTACACTGGATGGCCTCCTTCCATCACTTACAAGAGTCTGAGCAAGGACAAAACAATTAGTCTCTAGATTTATCATAGGATGTTCTAGACTTATAATAGGATGACTCTAACTCAAGGGCGGGTTTGACCTCTGAGGACAAATTCCACCTTCTCAAAATTTCCCTCTTTTGGAAACTTACAGAATTAAAGCAACTCAACATCTTCTAAGAGAATCTGCTTCTGGTACAATGAATTTCCTAAATCCCCCTTTTTAGAAACGCCTACACTTCAGTATTCACCGCCACCTAGAATTCTGTAAGAGTTCACGTAAGCCATCGGGAGCCCATTCAGTTCCCGGGACACTAACTTCTTAGAGCTGGAAGGTCAGACAGAGCCTCTGAAGCATCGTTTTCACCTGAAACCAATTTTGTTTCAAGTAGACTCTACGGAGAGGCTCATCAGTCTTCTCATCCATGCAAATGTGTGGCGGGGAGCCACATGAGCAGCACCTGAGCTAAGGCCATGCAATTCAATTTACAAGTGTTGATTGTCAGCTGAGCTGAGCTGAGCTGAGCATGACACTAAGTTAACCAGGCCTTGGTCAGAGATCTCTTCTGGGGCCCAGCAGTGGCATTCAGGAACTAGTGTGGTGAGGGGTGGGAAGTGTGTGGGGGCAGTCTAGTCAGTCGGCAGGGGGTTCAGGAATGTGCACGCTCACCTGCTGTCTGAGTGGGAGAGGCTCTTCCCGCGGTGGGGGGCAGTTTCCAGAGGACCGCCCTTTAGGGGTATGGTCAGTTCCAGTTTGGGGCAGGTTCCTTTAGGGAGTTCTGCTTCTGCTCCCTGATCAGGCTCCCTGATCAACAAGAGATCCTGCCAAAAGGGTCCATCTAGGGACCACGTCTGTAGGACATAACCCTGGCTCTTTGCTTACAGCTGACTGGGCACCTGACCTGAGGGCAGCTTATCTACAGGCAGATGCGAATTGGACCCATCAGATTCTCAAGCATTTGCCTAAAGGGAGCTCAAGGCCGCTAGTCTGAGAGTGGTCTGCAGTGGGGGGTGGGGGGGACTGCGGTGCAGGTCCTGAGGTCCGTGTTTGGTTCTAGACTCACTAATGAGGGAGCTGGTTGGTCCAGGCAAGCAAGAGGGTGAAGCAGGTGTGTTGAGAGAAACAGAGCAAAGCAGAGGAGGAGAGCGCCAGGGAAAGAGCTATCAGGAAGAAGGGTTGCTTGATGCCTTCCCTGCCTTTTGCCACACCTGCATTTTGCTTCTGCAATTTATCTCTGTGTCTTTCAGTCAGCCCCTGGCTGAAGTAAGGCCGAACAGGTTTCCTTGAGAAGTTCCAAGACTGGAACTCCTTTGAGGTTGGACTAGATGGCAGGATGGAACTTGTGATACTTGGACCCCATCAGGGACAAGCTGAATTATACTTACACCTTGAAAGTCTTGGACTGTAATTGGAAAGGGAAGTCCAGATTCTAAATTCAGGGTTAAGGCCAAAGCTTTTTCTCCAACGTGAAAACTCCTTCACATTCATTATACACTGAATTGTGAGCACTTGTGTGCTGTGTGGAAAAAATGAGGCTCATTTATATGAAATCTTCCTTCCTTCCTTCCTTCCTTCCTTCCTTCTCTTTCTTCCTGTTTTTCTTTTCGAGACAGGGTTTCTCTGTAGCTTTGGAGCCTGTCCTAGAACTAGTTCTTGTAGACCAGGCTGGCCTCAAACTCACAGAGATCTGCCTGCCTCTGCCTCCCAAGTACTGGGACTAAAGGTGTGTGCCACCACCACCCAGCTGAAATCAATATTTCTTGATCCATTTCAATTTTTGCCTGGTAGGGAAGCATTTCTTTTACTTGGAAGTAAGAATTTTACAATGTTTTCTAGTCTACCTACCCTCAAGCTCAGATATTATTTTTTTTCTTGAGTCAACGTTATTCAGAAATTGCATGTTTTGGTTTATGTCTTTTTGGGAGGGGGTTCTTAAAATAACAAGTAGACGGTATTACCTCTCCTGGCACAGTAGATGGCATTACCTCTCCTGGGACAGTGTCCTTCAAATAGGCTCCTTCGGGCTCTGTAGCTCAGAGCTGCCACCCTGTTCCCACACAAGCCTCAGGTCAGAGGTACCAGGCCATGCGAGAGACCCTTATGTTCTTGGCTTTCTGGCTCACCTGGACCCAGAAGTGACAGTGTCAGGGCTTCCTTGCCTGCCTTTTTTGACCCGTGGTGCTGGATAAGTAAGTTACCCCCACTGGCTTTCAAGGACATTGTTTCTTCAGTGCTATTTTCTGGAATAAATTGGTCCCCCCACCCCCGTATTTTTTGGCAAGAGTATTATGGAGTTACTCACTTGATCCTTGCCTACTTTTTAAATTTCTGGGCACAGTTAAAGAAATGTGTCTCCAACAAAGTGTACAGGCAACATGGTCAAAGGGAGAGCAGGCTGGGGCATGAATCAGCAGAGGCGGGCTCAACCCTCAATGTGTCTGGATGTGGGTTTTTTCCTTCCAAGTCACTGAGATCCTCTGTGGCTTCTGTGCCTGTCTGGAAGAGCTTGACAATCTGAGCTCACTGCTGCCTCCTCTGTGCTCTCACGGAACTCCGTGTTCACACCTCTGTGGCGATTCCCCTCTGAACTCCTCAGAGTCTCCTGTTCTGGGACCTAACACCTCTATAAGCCAAGGAGACTCTTTAGGGAAGGGAATCACATCTTTGTCCCAGAAGGCTTTAACCATGGTGGAAAAATATGAACTCATTAATTTTTTTTTAATAATTTAAGGTTTTCTTTAACAGACTTCTTGTACCCATGGAATCTAGTTTAATAGTATTTGATTTATCATGCGATATTTTAATTGTCTCAATGAACTAAATATTCCATGGGGTTCTGTGAAGACCCCGGTGAGCTGTAGTTCCACTACCCTGGCAATCTGGAGCCACACCACAGCTAACCCTAGAGCCATGATCTGGAAACTCTTGGAACCCAGAGCTTACACACTGTCTTTTGAAGCATTCATATTCTGTAGTCTAGAAACGTCTCTCTCATATTCCAAACATTTACCAAGTCCACACAGTACTGTGCTGATGAAATATTGGCATTATTGATAAAGTGGACCAATGTAGCTGGCTGTAGAAGACTGACATAGTTTGCATGAAAAGGCTGAGTTTCTTTGGCTCTTTGTTCATTCAAGTGCATCAGATGCCCGTCTGGATAGATTTAGGCTTTGTATTCATCTGTCGGTAAAACCCTGCACTCTCCACAGTGTTCTGCAAGCTGATTTCAGGTTTGGACTACAACTGGCCATTGGTAGAAATATACCATATATACACACGGAAATTACAAAAATACATTTTTATTTATAGCTGATTTTGTATTAAGTAACAAAAAACTAACACTATGAAAGATCAACCAGCATACTAAAAGGACACTATCTAATGCCACCCCCCACAAGAGACTTGTCATCTCGGAACATTCCAGAAAGGACAGTTTGCCAGAGGGAAATAAAAAGAGCTTCTTGGGCAAGTCTGTGCTTTGACAGTTTGAGTCCCCCAGTCTAATCAGTTCCAATCCTACTCTTCTCTCAACCTCCTTTCAGTAAAGACCAAAGAAACTCATGGAGACAATGGATAGATGGGTTCAGAGGGGCATAGGTACAGCTGAAGCAAGATGGGTCATGGGTGAAGGCAGGGTAGGACCTTATTCTGCAACAGACACCAAATAAGCCCCCTGACATCATACATGACTCCCAAAATTGGGGAGGAAACTCAGGGTTCCCTTTTCCTCTGGTACCCCAAATCAGTCTTATTTGCACAGAGGAGTCATCAGTGTACCCCAGAGCTGCAAGGCAGTGTTTCCACCCAGGACTCTGTAGGCTGATGTGTCATGCCAGGAAGAGTAGCATGTGACAGCACCATCCTAAGGTAGCATCTTGCCATCTCAGCAAACATCCTCCTGCGTTCATCCACCACGGAGAACTGGTGAACTCCAGACTTTTAAAAATATGTTTTGCATTTCATCATCCCAAATCAGATTTTCTACATTTACAAGTTTCTAGAAGCAGAGGTTGCAGGGTGGGGTGACCGTGGATCCATCTTTCCCATCTCTACCATAATCAATAATGGTTTTCTTTGTACCGCTAGCAGCACGCGCTAGACTCCACTATGGAGGAGACAGATCTTGTTAAAGTTGCTGTATCTATTATTTCCCCAGGATGGCCGGGTTCTCAGGCCATCTTCAATACAAAGAAAAACCTCCGCAAATAACTGCTTCTCTTTTACAGGCTCCCAAGCCTCTTAGCACCGATTCCCTTTCATGTGGATCCCAATTTGCAGAAGACTTTATTTTCAAAATGACAGCACCTTTTAAACAGCCTGTCCACGCAAGCCCACCGTTCTGGTTCATCGTCTCTCTTTCTCTTGGCCTTTAATTAGCAGGTGTGTGTTTTGGGGGGCAGAAAGGACTATTTATAGGCACAGCCACTGGAACTGATTTCCATCCAATTCATTTGACTTTGAACATGAGCCTTTAAAAGCAAAGAGACTCGAGTTTCTTGGCTGGAGAGTCCGTATTTCCCTTACAGACTAGAGGTGATTTTGAAAGCGGTCACGGTCATGGCTCAATGAGAGGGTACAGTCTGGTGGTTAATCACACTCCTGTGTTGCCTTTAACACAGAAAGAGAACATGCAGAGGCCGCTGAAGACAGAGAGGCAGTCTCTCCCTTCTGACGGTTTACTAAAATGGGACACTGGACAGGAACCTGCAGGCTAGCTAGTGCCTCTCACAACTAGGGCTCCTTCAGGAAATTCCACCCACAGTTCAAACATTCAGCCCAGCAGAACATCAAATGCAGGGTCCCAGCTAGGGACCTGCTGACCCACAGTTGGCTGCAGGAGTCAGAATCCAGTTGTTCACAAGTTTTCTGCTTCCCAGCAGCCTCACTGTTGATGTTTTTTTTTGAATTTGAGGATGAGAAAGACCCATGCATTGTCTGGAGACCCCACACATCAGTGGAGAGGAACCCAAAGCCTGTTTGTTGCCTCACAGTCTTCAAGGGCAGATTCCCTCAGGGCTGAGGCATTAGACCTGGAACTCAAACATGTCTGTCTGCTTCTTGGCCAGCTTGGCCACTTCCTCCCGGATCGCCTTCACGAGGGCTGCAGTGGAAATATTGGTCAACGGGGTGTCTGGAGGCTCATTTTCTGTCAGGCTCTGCTGTGAGGCCGCTGTGGAGGGGACAGGGGCCTGCTCTAGGCTTGGGTGAAGATTGGTTGGTTGGCTGTACTGGCGAGGGAGCCTGGAGGGTGAACTCTGTTGATAACGCGACCGGGGATAGGCTTCGATGTACCCAGGAAGAGGGACCTGCATAAGAGGTTGGGAGAGAGAAGGAACTCACATTAGGAGGGAGCTCAAGGTACAGGATGTACTCAATACTGGAAGCAGGCTGGCGGAGGAGGTCAAGGAAACAGGTTTAGAGAAGTGAAACCCTGCATTACCACAGCTATCAGCCTATCAGTGCTGTGAACCCAAGGGCATCTGGAGCCAGTTTCCTTACAAACAGCCATCTTGCACTCACTCAGTATGCTGGCTACAGGAATTAAATAGGTGTTCTTCAACTCTGCTGAAAACTTTAAGAACACACCCGCGCTCACAGCTAAACGACCCTGCCTTTCCTTTTAACTTAAGCATAGCTGAGTAAACAGAACTCTTGCAAGGGAACTCAGGGGCTTTTTACAAATAACAGCAGCCTGCATCCGTTGAGCCCTAATGATTTTCACACAGTATCTCATCTAATTCTGCAAGCAACAATCTCCTCATCTCTGTTTCATAGGGGAGGACACTGCAGCCGAGGGTACCACCATCAAAGGAAACACAGCCACCAAGCCCAGACATGCTCTGCACAGGTGTACCTGGCTCCAAGCACTGGGAATTAATTAATTTGTGCACTATAGTGTTTTGGATGTAGGTGCACTATCACATTCTTGAAAAAAAAACTCCTTTCATTAAAAGAGGGAGACACATCATTCTCTACTTAAACATACAGAAGTCTCTATGAATAAAGACAAGCAAAAGGTTTAGAATCTATGACTATCTCGCCCACAGAAACAGTACACACATGGGCTGCTATTTGGTCCACAAAGACCTTTCTATCCCAGGATGCTGGCTGGAATGCTGTGGATGCAGGCACAGGACTGTGGGGCAGGCAGAGAACATGTGTCGGGAGTCCACTTCAGGTTCAGGAGGTAAGATAGGCAGGTCAGACAGGTGGAAAAACAAGAGCTAAGGTACAGGGGTGCAGAGTGGTGTGCTGGGTGGGGATGGTGTCCCCAGGCTGTTCCGTTTAAAGCAACTGAATGCTAGTCCATGGGGCATGTGCTTCTTTAGTGGACCCACCTACTGTCCTGGACACACTTGTGAGAAATAAAGGCTGTTTCTATAGTGGGCCTGGAACTCACAGAACATCATGCTGGTCTTGTGACTGTGGTGGCCCTTCCAGCTCTGCCTCCTGACTTCTGGTATTACAGACATGCATTACCACACCTGACCTCCTTCCCCATTGACAGACATGCTCATCTGGGCCTGCTGGGGAGGATGGGGTAGGAGAGGATGGAGCAGGGGAGGATGGAATGGGGGGATGGAGCTGGGGAGGATGGAACAGGGGAGAAGGAGCTGGGGAGGATGGAGCTGAGGAGGATGGAGCTGGGGAAGATGGGGCAGGGGAGAAGGAGCTGGGGAGGATGGAGCTGAGGAGGATGGAGCTGAGGAGGATGGAGTTGGGGAGGATGGAGTAGGGGAAGATGGGGCAGGGGAGGATGGGGCAGGGGAGGATGGAGTCGGGGAGGATGGGGCAGGAGAGGATGGAGCAGGGGAGGATGGAATGGGGGGATGGAGCTGGGGAGGATGAACAGGGGAGAAGGAGCTGGGGAGGATGGAGCTGAGGAGGATGGAGTTGGGGAAGATGGGGCAGGGGAGAAGGAGCTGGGGAGGATGGAGCTGAGGAGGATGGAGTTGGGGAAGATGGGGCAGGGGAGAAGGAGCTGGGGAGGATGGAGCTGAGGAGGATTGAGTTGGGGAAGATGGGGCAGGGGAGAAGGAGCTGGGGAGGATGGAGCTGAGGAGGATGGAGTTGGGGAGGATGGAGTAGGGGAGGATGGAGCTGGAGAAGATGGAGCAGGGGAGGATGGAGCTGGGGAGGATGAAGTAGGGGAGGATGAAGCTGGGGAAGATGGAGCAGGGGAGGATGGAGTAGGGGAGGATGGAGCTGGAGAAGATGGAGCAGGGGAGGATGGAGCTGGGGGGATGGAGCAGGGGAGGATGGAGCTGGGGAGGATGAAGTAGGGGAGGATGGAGCAGAGGAAGATGAAGCAGGGGAAGATGGAGAATGGAGCAGGGCAGCTGTCCTAACCTCTTCAGCCTGCTAAAATCAGATATCACTGACCAAGGAGCTGATAAGGAATGGAAATTTATTTTTATACTCATGAAGACTGGAGACTCCAGCGCCTGGTGAGAGGCTGCTTCCTGGTTCTTGACAGCTGTCTTTTCCTGTCACCCACATGACAGGAGCAGCAGGGCAGCTCATGGGCTTCTTTTATAAGAACATAATTCTATTCACAGTATTTGACCTCACAAACCAGCCACCCGCCCAAGACCTCACCGTGACACTGTGGAACTCAGCGTGTGAGTCGGGTAGAGGGACACAAACATTCAGACATTGGGACAGGGGAGTACATGGTAGGATGCAGGATGCTCTCTCTGATAGTCCCTCTTGAGAAGGTAAGTGTCTGAGATCACGGGCTGGGAACCCTTGTTGGGTGTCAGCAGAGAAGTCAGCCTCAGCAAGGTCATTCGGGGTGAATCCGGCAGAAGTGAGCTCTGAGGCTACCTCAGCGGTTCAGGTGAGGCCGCGAGAGCTCACTTGACAGAAGTTACTGCACTGATGACTTAAGCTTGAGTCTGGGGTTTAAATTTCACCACGAGACCCTGCCAATAAAATAAAGCAGCAAAAAGCTGCTCATGTCTCTATGTACAAGGGCTGGACAGCTTTCCCTGTACTTTAGAGGAAACCCAGCGGGGCACTGTCCCACTTATCCAGCCACAAGAGCTCAGAATATGCGGATGACTGGAGCTGACCAAGAACCAGGGCCACAATACAGGAAGCCTTTCGGATCTCAGCTTCAAATTTCCATTCTTCCAGGGACATTTTCCAGCCTGCCACCAGCCAATGGCCCCTGCAAAATGTTTTCATGAGGTCGGTCTAGAGTGGCAGGCATTCTTCCTGGGCCATCATCACCTGTCCCAGGTCAGCAGTTCTGAGAAGGCAGGACTCCACCCACCGTCACTTTGGTGACATCACATATGCCCAGAATTATGTCTAGCAGAGAGTAGGAACTCTCCCAGAGCCTGGGGTTCTAGGCACAGTCTGGAAATCACTGAAGGACGCTCAGTAGGTGTCGAATGTGTGGGGTGGAAGCCAATACACTTCAAACTCATATAACCGCATGAACCGGAGTGGAAAGAGTCAATAAACGACCCTTTGTGACATCAAGTCTTGGTGCTAGTGGCTAGAACCAGCAAGGAAAAGGTAACTAGGCAACTGGGGTTGTCTCAGGGTAGTACTTAGAAGTGGGGAAGATAAGGAAACAGGTTCTTTGGCAAGCTCCGTTATACTTGGCTGGCCAGAGTCCAGGGCTGCAAACACGTCTGCTCCTTGACAGACATCACCAATCGATCCAGCAATGCTCCTGATCAGTCTGTGTGGCGATTCTGAGTGTAAACTTCCCCTCACAGGTTCATGCATTTGAAGTTGATCCTTAGCTGGTGGTAATGTGTGGGAAGGTTCTGGAATCTTTCAGGGGTGGAGCCTTGCTGAATGGAGTGTGTCTCTGAGGGTGACCCTTGAGGTCTTCAAGCATGGCCTCACTTCTTGTTCACTCTGCTTCCTGACCGCAGGTGCAATATGACCAGCAGCCTCCTGCTTCTGTTGTCACATGTGATGGACAGTGTCTCCTTTAACTGAAGCCAAGACAGACCTTTCTTTCCTTAACTGACTTCTTGTCAGACTAGTTTGTCACGACAATGAGAAAATAGCAAACAAACCCTGAGGCCTCCCCTGGAAGCTTCTCTAGCACCAAGGGTGAAATTGATGTGACAATTTCACACCTGGTTTTAGGTGATTTGGGGGACCAGGAAGGTCAGGCACCTAAGTGAAGGCGGGGGTCTTGTTTTCTCACATCAGTATAGAGGACATGCAATCTTTTTAATCAGCTCAAATGGGGTGTCTTTCTCTCGTTGACTTTCTGAGCTCCCTGTACTCACTTGCTCTGAATCTCCATACAGCACAGCTTGCACCATGCTGGGCACACTTCTCAGCTGAGCTACAGGTGATAGCTGGGCTCCCAGAAAGACCTACCCAGGCTGCAGCATTAAAAAGAGCCAGGGAAACTCAACCTCTTTCACAGTATTGGGGAGGATTTGGGAATGATTCCATCATCCTGTCAGGAAGGTGAGGTTGGCATTTGCTGAGGTCTTTCGTCTTCTTCTCTAAGGTGATGTGAACCCAAGGGCGTCTGGATGAAGCCGAAAGCCTGGGGAAGCTATGTGGGTTAAGCATCTTGAGGACAAGGACCAAGGGTTTGGAAAATACTTCCTTTGACTCCCGCAGAAGACATAGCTATCCAAGCTGCAGGCTTCCAGCCTGACCAGGGCACCATGCATGTCGTCCCCTCTGAAAAGAGCATGCATTATTTCCACATTTCAAGGCTTATAGAGTCAAACACTTTGTAATTGACCAGCCCTACTCAATGATGCCAACTGTTTAGAGATACACCAATGCAAACCAGTCTGGAAATCAGGAGGGCTGAGAAAAGAGAGTCAGACACGGTGGCTCAGCACTAGGGGGCGTTAAGGCAGGTTTGCCAGAGTTCACTTTTTGGCCTTGACTTCACAGTACGTAGTGAATTCCAAGCTAGTTTGGGCTTAGGAACCAAACCTTGTCTCAAAACTAAACAAGCAGAACAACGGCAAAACTGACCTCAAAATTAAAACAAACAAAAAAGAATGGAAAAAAACAAAACAAAACAACAAAACCACAAAAGAAAGGTAAAGATGGGACCGTCCCAGCCAAACAGATGCCACGACATCACAGGTTAGACCCGCTGACCTAACAGCAAGCTACGACATCCCAGGTTAGACCCGATGACCTAAGAGCATGCTATTACATCCCAGGTTAGACCCGCTGACCTAACAGCAGGCTATGACATCCCAGGTTAGACCTGCTGACCTAACAGCAAGCTATGACATCCCAGGTTAGACCCGCTGACCTAACAGCAAGCTATGACATCCCAGGTTAGACCTGCTGACCTAATATCAGGGAATCCTCCAGTTCCTCTCCCAGAGTTTACTTACTCCAACTTAGCAAACAGTTTAAATGAGCTCAGGCATGTTTCATGTGCAGAGGACAGCACATTAGGAAAAGCACAAGTCAGGATGTGGAGATGCTGACAGCATAAAGTGCCAGCCGGGAGGAAGCTCATGCAAAGAAAAACCACATCAAGCCATTCTATCAAGCCCAGAGGTTACTAGTTTGTAGATACTGAACGAAAAGCCAGAATCCCCAAACCATGAAAGCCCAGCCTCCGAACGCCTCCTGAGAGGGAACTGTAAGACTTCGTCAGGACGCTGAGCCGCTCGCAGAAGACGCTTCAGTCAAGCTACGCCCACTTAAAAGGAGCGTTCATTTCAGAATACTTTATATGCAGCGTGGCATGCATTTTTTATGCTTTAGAAACCAAAGAAGTAAGCATTGGACAACAGGACAGTTTATATACAGGATTGCCCCTCTGGTGGTGGTGTTGAAACTCAGGTCACTACAGACTGCACGGTATGGTGACCTCAGAGGTTTGGACAAAGGCATTGCCAGACTCCTGCAGCAAGGTGTTTTCCAATGCTAGGAATTCATTCCAAAGGCAGAGACCAACTCTGAAAGTGACTAAAGAATACAGGAATGCCAGGTTCAGCTTAACCTGCCTTTCTCATTTACACCAGGTGAGCTCACTCAGGGACCAGACAGTCTACTACAGACACCGTAGGTGACACTCCCTTTTTTTTTTTTAAATGGCCACACCTGGCAAGTCCAAAGACAGGTGTATCTGTGTCACACACCTATGAGGAATGAAGGGAGACAGCAAATGCTTGGGTGGAAATCAAGCAGGAAGTCTTTGCATCGGCCATATGGCGGTTTTAGGGTTTCTGACCCTTCATTTGCTGACATTCGATCTAAAATCTTGTAGAATGTGACAGTGGAAAGAAATAAATTGGATAAACACTTTGGAGTCAGACTGGTGTGAATTCTAACTTCGGCCTTGGCTCTTATCGAGTTACATCACGTGACTAAACCTCAGTGCTTTATCTGCGAAATGGGAGTAGTCATAAAACTCGCATGATCAAATTTACCGTGAAGATTAAATAAGGCAGTTTAATGGAACACTTGAACGGGTCTGGCATACAGAAAATACTAAACAGATGGTAGTTATTACTATAAAACTGATTTGGTTACGGTCCCCTTGCCAGGAAGAGATAGATTGCATTCTAGGAAACAAGCCTCAAATTCCTCCATCAAAGGTCACACGCCTCACCGCACCACCACCCAAATGGCTCACCTCAGCCACCGGCATGGTGGGAGGTCCTGAGAGAACCACAGCCCAGTCTCTGTTTTCCACCTCCTTTTCCCCTAGAGGTGTGCCCAGCGAGGGAACCCTTGTGAGAGCAATAGCAAGGGTCTCACCGAATCAGCCCACTGGCTCGGGAGCTCATTCTCCCCTGCATAGGACATCCAGGCCTGGTTCCTGTAGGAGGAGGGAGGTGTTGGGATGAAGTAGCCGGTGAAGCCAGGTCTGTTGGCAGCCGGGATGGCAAACACCGCTGGCACTGTGTTACCTGCACAGAGGAAGTGGGTGGGAGGTCAGAAGAGGCTGGACTCTGGATCCACACCCCTACCCGCAAGAGCCAGATAAACTCCATTTCACAGACTACCAGGCTGCCTGCTGGGCCTCAAATCTCAGCGACTCAGGCCTGAGTGAGGGGCATGTTCTTGGCTATAATATCGAAGCACCTCCATCCATACAGGGCAGGGAGCCCCTGGGTACACAGACGCCATCCAATGTAGAGCTGCGCCTGCTGCAGTGGCTGAAACTCTAGGTAATGCATCAGCGAAGAGGGCGGCTGAGGTAGAAGGCACCTGGCTCCCCTTAGTAGATCTCTTCCAAGTTCCCTGTGACTGCCAAGGGAAGCAGGTGGTGCCCTACTCAGGGTATCTGGCATGGAGGTCAAGTGGGGCTAAGATCCAAGCTGTGCTTTCTTTGTAGGGGTGGGCGCTGCATCCACCTTTTTCAATGTCTTGAGAAGCTTCATGGGCTAGCAGTGCCTCAATTTCCCCACTGTCCTAAAGAGGGAGTAGAGTCCAGCTGGCACCCTTCCCACTGAACCTGCATGAACTCCAGCTCAGGAAGCTGGGAATCTAGGGAGGACTCTGACATTGGTCCAGGCTAGGGGATGCAGAGGAAAAGGTCATTGGGGAGGCGGTAGGAAACCTTGTTCTGCAGTCCCAGCCCCCATCACCTGCCTAGTCAATATGGCAGGCATCATCTGTTGTGGCTCAGACTAGCTTCCTTGGCTTTGAAGGTCCAACTCCTCCTATAGAGACCGCATCCTCTCCCTCATCCTACCTGATAGCCTTGATCTCTCCAGAGGAAGGACACCTTGGGTACAGGTGCTTTCTTCCCACGAGGGCATGTGGTTTTAAAGCTTTTTTATAAAAGGAATCAAAAGGAATGATTTCACCAGAGGAATTCCCAGAAACCACAAATGGTTTAGTAAGTGTTGGCAAGAGGTGCTGGCAGGTTTAACCATAAAGGTATGCCATGAACACAATAAAAATTCAACCAGACCACATACAAATGAGGGCGGGTGCAAACCTCCAGTTCCTTTTTTTGTCATTTTCAGTTTGACACAAAAACTGGAAATGACTCCTATATCTACCAGAGGAATGGACTGTTGCAGGTTATGTCACAGGACACCCACAAGGCAGTGGAAATGAATGGCTAGCCTGTGCTCATAGCACCATCAGGAGAAATACCTCAAACAATGTTTAAAAAAAAACAGTGCAAAAAGGAGTGTGTTGTAAGTGATTTATACAAGTTTAAAATGCATATAGCATTAGCACATATTTTTAAATAGGAACACAACACAACACAGGTCTAAAACCCATGACCCAAGGACCATGACCACCTTGGGGAAGGATGGCTGGCTAAATGCGTCATGCTGTGGAGGTAAAATAAATAGAAACCTGAAATACGACAAAATATTAACAAAATTTTGATGTTAGCATAACTAGGCATTTTGCAGTTTCTCCTTCCTTCCTTCCTTCCTTCCTTCCTTCCTTCTTTTTAAAAGAAATAAAACCAGCAGCTCCTCTGACGGATACTAGCAAAGTCAGAGGACCCAGACATGTGGTGGCTCTGGTTCCCAACGGTGGCAGTTTGTGTGGACCGGGGAGGCCTCATTACAGGGAACAGGGTTTTTCTCCTCTGTCTCACCTGAGTAATTCAAAGCCGACTGATCCAACTGCGTCACCGACACGGGACCTCTGGACACCTGGGCAAACGAGGCACTGTCATGCAACTGGGTGGACTCGGGTCCTGTGGACTCCGCCATTCGGGTCTTGCTGCCGATATCTGAGGTGGACCTGGGCAGGGCAGAGGGACTGTGTAACGTGAGCATGCCTCAGGCACCAAGCAGTCACATTACATTTCAAGGTGGCATGATGCCGTCAAGCCCCTGCTCTCCTGATGTCCTGGGACGGATTTGCCACCAATAGCAATAGGAGCGCTGGTGGCGTCTGCATGGCGGGGGGCACCCAGACCTGCAGCAGTGGGGTCAGTTTCGTTTTGTTTTTCCATTGGAGGTTAGCTCTCTAAGGATGGCTCTGGGTAGTAGAATATTTAATTTCCATGTAAAAGCAACAAGGCACAGTTGGGTAGACCTAGGAGGAGAAGACATGAGCAGTAGCCAATGAGATGGACACCTTTACCTCTAAACTGCATTCCTGGGCTAACGCTCTGGGTCTCCATGAAGGAAAGTGACAGCCTCGTGTAGGTGGGGATGGCAGATGGTGCCGAGGGTGGGGTGGGGGATTGGCAGAAGAAATGGACAGATGACGGCTGCCAGAAGACCTGCCGCGAAGATCTATCTGATCTGAGTGGTACACACAGGAATAGCTCAGAACCCTCTGTGCTTCCTTAGGGAGGCTAGGAAGATCCGACAACACGCAGGCTGGGAGGTGGGGTGGGGGGGTCAGTGTGGGCTCTCCCTTTCTCATCCTGCCTTCCCTGTCCTGCAGCTCTGCCTCGGGTGACCCTTTCCAGGAACTTGTGGATCTTTCCCTATACACTCTGCTGAGAGCCTTTCTGAGAATCCTAGAGAGTTTACATCAGGAGCCCAAGGAGCAAGGTGATCTGTGTGGCAGACTAGGCAACAGACCCTTGGTCAGCTTCTTAGCACCCCGCCCTGGACAGCACTGGCCTCAAGGCCGTTGTCAACTGAACCATCAGAACTGGAAACAGTATCTTCTCTAGGGAAACTCACTTTCAGTTTTTTAAGCATCTTCACAAAGGCCATGCCTGTGGCCCACAGAGGAGCTGACGAGTATGTTGGGGGAGGTTGTGGAGCAGCGCCGGAACAGTGACCCACGCATTCCCCAGGGTTATCCCCAGCCTGGGTATCAGAATTAGTTCATCCTTCCCCAGAGCTCTTGGTTTTCCTGTCTCCTGTCCCACTTTCTCAAGGACCTGTGCTGGCTGTATCAGCACAAAGAGCTGGGTTAACAACTACCTCATGCTGAGACGCACGAGTTCCGCCTCTCTGCAAAGTCAAGTCTGGGAGTGGGTAGCCCAGACCCGCTCTCCCTGGCCCCTGAGACACTGCCCTATAAGTAACAAGGGGACTTCTGGGTATGCGAGCACAGGATGAGGAGCCAAGCTTCTTATTATGTCAGGGTATGGGCAATCAAGGTACAGGGCGATTGACCTGGGCGTTTTTGATTGTGGGGTCGCAGGGGCTTTTTGTTTAGAAAGACATACTGGGGTCTCCACTTCCCTTATGATACTCCTGTGCCCTTAAACTCGGGGCAGGGAATGGAAAGAGTTTCCTGGGACAACCATTCACAGGACTAGACAGTTTGGGGATCAAATCTTCCCCAAATATCTCAAACAAAGTCAAGAACTGAATGCATTACCGCCTGAGGGAAGCCACAGCTACAGGGCCTGTCCTGGGAGGTACGGGAGGCGGGGGAGAGCCCATGACCATTTCAGGAAGCTGGGAAAACCTGTAAGCCTGTGGAGAGACAAGCAAATTAGAGGTTGCTGTTAAAGCCAGTATCACCCAGTACACAGCTTCTTCTTTACGGAGGAAGCCCAATTCCAGTGGCCAGACTCTAAGTTCTTCCTCACAGGCCTTCCCTAGATCTTCCTTAATGCAGTCCCCAGTCTCATCTCTCTGAGGCTCTCTGGTTTGCGTGGCCCCGGCAGTCTCAGAACCCTTCAGTAGCCTTAGAACACTCTCTCCTCCTTGGCTGTGCGCTGGCAAATGCTGCTCCTTCTTCCTGGCAGGATTTTCTCCTGGTTATGCCACAGTTCCTTCCTTCATGCCATTCATCCTGTCCCATACTCCCCCTTTCTCTGTCTAAGAAAATGAGTGCTTTTTGGCTAAATTATATGGCTGCTTGCTTATTTATTATCTGCCGCCAGCTTGACTGTAATCTGAGGTGTTAAGGGCCAGGTTTTGTTGTCAGTAATATCACACCCGGAATAGCGCATAGCAGAAGATCAATAATGTCAGACTCAAAGAAGGAATGAATGAATCATTGGGGGCAGTTTCCTTGGTCGCGGAACCCTAGTTTAATGTGGAAAGGAATGGATTTGGGGGGCAGGAGGAGCCGATGAGCAGACTTTAAACTCCTAGGTAAGTCTGGTGACCTCTGTGGACTTCAGAGTCCTCTTCTGAAGTGGACACATCAATGCTGTGCTCAGGGGGTTCCTGAGGAGACAGGCAAGGCCCCGTGTGTGCACGGGCTTTGTAACCCAAGCAAAGACTTTAGTTAACATGTGAGGGGATAAAAGAAAGACAGACAGGATCAGAGAGGCCTCTGCCTACTACTCTGCCAAAGCCTACTATAGCGAGAGAAAAATTTAGAGATGCCCTTGGGGTAGACAAAGCTCAGCGAGTCTTTTTAGGGTTGTGTGCTTGCCTGTCGGACTCTCACAGAATACGATGGCAAGCCTTTAAACCCCAACGCATCAGCACATGCTGAAGCAAGGGGTCTCCACAAACAGGGTTCCTTGAGCCGAAAGAGGTCCCCGCCCCCATCTAGCCTTACAGCAAACAGCACACCTGTCGGGGCTACCCCACGGAATTGCGGTGAGGCCTCAGAGAAAGCACACGTTTTTAATATTCCAGGAAAACTGTGAGCTGTAGGGAATTGCTAAGGACAACTCTGGTACCCCTCCTTCCCCTGCATCTTAGCAAAACTAAAACAAAACTGGGAGCTGATACCAGAGGTGGAAACAGAGAACAGGAAGCAAATGCAAAAGATGTGGCTCCCCAGAAGACAAGCTGGGTAGCCCGTGTCCGATTGTGAGATCAGGCTTCAGCACAGGGCATGTGGTTGAGGTGTGCATGTGCCTGGCCTTTCCTCACGGGGTGGCTGGTGAGGTTCCAAGGAACACAAAATTCTCTTTAGAGTGGGGTCTATCTAAAGTGGGCTCATAGGATTAGTACAATTAAAAATTAGTTAGGAGCTATCCTACTAGCAAGAGCTTATGGAACATACCAGAGGGAAGAATGAAAGTCAGTACCAAGAACACAGGCATAGACTTTTAAAGACTTCTAAGCTTCAATTGTCCAGACATAAAGCAAACAAATAAACAAAAAATTAACTCGTAAGAAATGCTTTTGAAGAGATAAATGACCAGGGCTGATGGATCATTGATTAAGAACACACACTGTTCTTCCACAGGACCCAAGTTTAGTTCCCAGCAGCCATATCAGACAGCTCACAACTGCCTAAAACCTTAGCTCCAACACCTTTTTCTGATCCTGTGGGAACGACACTCACATGTACAAAACCCCACATTCTCACATAGCACATATCACATACTTTAAAATAAATACACATTTTTAAAAAATAGCATTAACTGCTCCAGTTGGGGTGCCACCAGGAATGCTATATCATACTCTGAACAACAACTTTCAGGCATGTGTTGGGGAAATAACGCATGCATTCAGACTGATGAAGAGAGAATTAAGAAACTTGGAAACAGAGCTGAGGAACTTAGTAAAAATGAATTTTAAAAAGAGGAAGTTGAAAATATAAAAAGAAGAGATGCAGAGTTGGGGGATGGACAGGTCTGACATTGGCATCTGGATGCTGAAGGGCAGAAGCAGAGAAAAGCTGTTGAGCATCTTCCTACATACGCTCCACTTTATCCTTGTAGGCAGGTATGCAGGGTCTCCCACCATCTGCAGCAAGTGCTCCATCCACCGAGCCATCTTCACATATCTATGAAACTATTTGTCAGACATGAAACAAGCACATGAAAGCAGTGTGCCCGGTTGAAACTGGGGAGAGAATGGCTTAGTAAATTTGGCCCTTGTCCTGTTTCATGATGGTTTCCTGCGGAGCTCCCTGAACTCTGAGTTTTGCAGACAGGTTGAAAACCATTGTCCTGCATGCCATCCCAGCCATACCTTCACCATCTTAGTAATTCAACAAGTGAATGCCCCCTTTAACAAAATAAAGGGGTTCACAACCCCTCTGTTTCTTCTGGCCTCTGATGCTATTCAGCAAAGGATGCAGAAGTCTATTTTTATCTCTGGTTCTTGGGAGGCTTATTCTGTACTGAACACAGTTTGCTCGCCAAGAAAAAGTTTTCTATGCTTTTCTCGGAGTAAATCACTAGAAGATTTGATAAAAAGTTCTGAGCTTTTGTTGAGCATTGAGGACGTCACCTTTATTAGTAGGCTTTTTCCTGCATAAAGCGCACCTATGCTGGACAGCAGGCCCCCACTCTTGGGCTATGTCTTTAGAACTTGGTCACACAGCAGCAGAGATGACCATTGCCGTGTGTGAATGAGCTGACAATCATCCTGCATTTCCTTCTATGTTAGTTCCAGAGGTTCTAAGCTCCCCCATCTTGCAACCCAGTTCCCCTTCTGTGTCCATTCCTGTCTCACCCTGTGGGATGAGGATCTAAATCCCATTAAGATATAGGATAGTTTCAAAGACAAGACTTGTGTGCACCTCTAGGAAAGCTTAGGAATCTGAAATCTTCTTCTCCCCATGCAGGACGGAAGAGTCAGGGGATGAGGGAGCCAGGTGCAAGGGGCTTTAACAGTCCTGTAGGAAAAGGTGAGGAAGCTTCTGGAGATGGGGAGGGGGACAGGCGTGGGTTAGAGTGAGAGTGAGAACAGGAGGGTGGGAGCAAAAGAAGGGAAGGGAAGGCGAGAAACAACACACAACAAGCAAAGTAAGGGAGGAAAAGAGGGAAGAGTCTGGTAAGGACTTCTCCTCAGTGGATGAAGGCACCAGTGTCCTCTTACAGACTAACACCAGGAGAAAATGTGAGGGCACACATTATCAGGGATGCCATCCAGGGCATTAGGAAAAATGGGAGCAGAAACTGTAGCCTTCTTCCCAATTCCCCCTACAGTTTTGCATCATGTTGGTTCCCAGAAGCCAGCAGGAGCCTGAGCTGACTGAGATGACGATGGAAGAACAAATCTGATTTTCCAATAATAACCCCCCAACCACCCAGTGAGTATTAAGGTTTCATTATTGACATTTCTTTGTAGGCTCACGTGGTACATATTGGTCACCAACTGGTGAGGTCACCAATAGGAGTGAGGTTATAAAACATTCAGGAGGTATGGTTTTGAGGCAGCATTTCTCTCTCCTGCCAGCCAGCTCCCAAATAAACACATAGAGATTTATTATTAATTATAAACGCTTGGCCAATAGCTTAGGATTTTTTACTAATTAGCTCTTACATTGTAAATTAACCCGTATTTCTTATCTGCACTCTACCATGTGGTGGTATGTTTTTTTCAGTACAGCATGTTCACCTTGCTTCTCTCTACATCTCCTCATGACTCCACCCTTCTTCATCCCCATGTTCTCTTTCTCCCTGTCCACAAGTCCCACCTAACTTCTTCCTGCATAGCTACTGGCCATTAGTTCTTTATTAAACCGATGAGACAATCCATCTTCACAGTGTACAAAAAGACTATTTCATAACAGGGTTCAGCTGAAGAAAGTAGGTGCTGGGAGTGGGTCCTTGGGTGTATCTTATCCCTAGTCCCCTTTTCTCCCCTCAAAACATGGGCCAAACCCTCTGAAGCCATGATCTCGATTCAGTTTTCCTTCTTTAGGTCACTGACTCAGATGTAATTTGTCATAGTGGTGTGGTTGTAACTAATACAGGGGGAAGGGCTAGGCATTCTCTGAATTTTTCTCTTTCTTCCCATGTAACAACCTTCCCATAGATCCAGTGACTAGTGACTTTCCTAAGCTTAGTGGAGCATGCTTTTGTCAGGTACCAAGAGCTCTAGTTTTCAGGGGCATTGCTCAGGGAAGGGCAAAGGCGAACAGCCTTCTGCTCACCCAGTCAGGCCAGTAAGGCACAATGGCCTGTCTTCAAGAATCCCGAGAGCTACGCAATGCAAGATTAGCAGTGACAGGCTCATCACCTGCATTACTCACCCACCAGGCCAGGTGGAAGCGCAGGAGAGATTCAAATGTTATTTGGAGAAATAGAAGCAATGTAATAGATTGTGAGTTTAGGCATTGTGGTGACTATAAAGATGCCTGATATGTTGGCATGGTTTATTATTAAAGATTTGGGGGATGACTCTTCTGTTTGGAAGGGGGAAGGAAGAACACAGACTTGTCAAACTCCCAACTTCACCCCCATAGAGCTGCCCCCATAGAGGCCAATAAGAGGAATAGAAAAGGCTCCTCAAAACTGAGTCATCTTCCTTATGACTTCCAACGGTATAGATATTTGCATTTCCGTTAGAGCTGAGAGTACACCCTAACCTTCACATTAGTCAGGAAATGGAAAATGTGTTAGCATCAGTGTTAGAAAGTGATAGGTTCTAACCCACTTCTGCCATCAAGAGCTGTTCAGTTGGCCCCTGAATCTATGGATTCACCTGGGGGTTCAAATAACTGAAGAGAGAATGTATTAAAAAAGAACTGAGTCTACACTGAGCACATACATAATTAATAATTTTCTTATTAATTATTCCCCAAACCATACAGATGACAGCTATTCACATACTGTTTGGGTTATGTCATGCCTGCCACTCTAAATAACCTCTAGACGACATAGGGGCATATGAGTAGGTGACATATGCAATCAAGGCCTAGGAGGGACTTGAGTACTGAGGGGTTTTGCTGCTTTTTGAGGGGTCTCGAACCTGTTCCCTGTAGACATCAAGGGTGACTGTGAGAAACTTAGGTAAGTTCTTTCATTTCTCCAAACCTGTTTTCTGAGTACTAGGGCTAGTGATAGCAATATTACAGGAAGGTTGACAGATTAGGAGAGATCATGTCTACACAGCACTTACATCAGTATGCAGCCAACAACGGGAACTAATAGACAGCAAGTGTTCTTATTAGCAGTTCCGTTGGTTCTTCTCTAGAGTCCAGTGGGGAAGATGTTTCAAGCCTAACACCTTTTTAAGAATCCTTACACTCTTGCCAGCAGGGACGTTGTAGGTTATCTTCACTGTATTTGGCATAGACCCATTATGGCTGCTAGCAAAATTGGATTGGTCATTAGGTGTCAAATTCAATTTCTTTGTAGATTCAAGAGGTAAAAGATGAGCAAAACTTCATAAACTGCTCAGTAGAAGTCCCAAGATGCCAGCAGTAACCTTTCCCATGATGTAAATCCCACAAGGCTGGTCCCGGCACATTATAGACACCAGCTTTCAATTATCCCTCCAGCAGAGTTTGGAGCACTTTCTTTCCTTTTTTCTTTCTTTCTTTTCTTAAGACAAAAGTAGCCACAGTTATCTTGTTGCCTTTTCTGCTGATCTTCGCATCATCATAGCACAGGGACCTCTGCAAGACCCTGGGTTCAGCAGCATCATCTCCACTGGGTATTGTTGGCTATTTTCTCCTTTCCTGGAAACAAGAGTCTCCTGTGCACTTGGCAGAGCAGGAAACCTTGTTCATGAGTGGGTGCTCTTTAGCATGTTCTGGTTTGATGGTTTGCCCTGAGGTAGGGTTATACCTCAGACCTTTTCCCTATGAAGCACCCCCATTTTCTGATCCATATATCCTGTTCAGCACAATTGCCAGCTCCCAATTACAGCAAACAGATGCCCGAGTATTCACACGTCTCACCATGCTTTTAGATAGCTTTATTGAACTCAGGTGTACGGGCTGTGGCATCAGCTCGCTCGTCACTGATTGGAAGACCTTTCTCGGTCACCCAAGGTCTTCTTTCTGAAACCCGGAGCTCTCATGGGTCCCTAGAATCAGCCTCCAGCTAGGGGTGCCTAGTGGCTCCTGAGACTTGTCACTAAACAAAAGCAAAAACAAAAGCAATGTTTCCTTGGGACCCTGAGGTGGGGCATCGAGAGTGTGTCCGAAAAGGGCTTCGCAGAGCAGGAGAAGGAGATGTGGCCTCACATGGACAGGGATAGAGTAAGTGGGCCCAGCAAAAATAGAAGAACTAGTTTGATATTAATGAGCACAGTCTGTCAAATAATCTGATGTGCTGGCACCATGCCAAGAAGTCTGCTGCTTATCAACTAGCTGGTCTAGGGTGTTTGCTAGGCGCCAGTCCTGTGCGAGTCATTTAGCAGGAGCTAACAGACCCCTTATCACCACCAGTGTATGCAGCCTCTGATTCTCAGAACGGGTCCCTGAGATCATTGGGTTAAGGGCACCATTCCACTTTGGGCTAGGGGTCAAGTTTAGGGATCCTCATACAGAGACTGGAAACTATGAGTCAATGAGACTGAAGTAGGTGGTAATCGACACTGGATATGAGTGGCCTTTCCCAGAGGGCATCTCCCTAGGAGAGGTGTATAAATGTGTTTAGATCCGGGTATTTTATAGCTCTCAGGGAGGAGGGGTCAATGCAATGCACATTATCAGAACACAGTGACCTTGGAAACTGCAAGCATTGTGAGTGTGTGTATGTGTGTATGTATGCATTGTGAGTGTGTGTATGTGTGTATGTATGCATTGTGAGTGTGTGTATGTAAGCATTGTGAGTGTGTGTATGTGTGTATGTATGCATTGTGAGTGTGTATGTATGCATTGTGAGTATGTGTATGTGTGTATGTATGCCTTGTGAGTGTGTGTATGTGTGTATGTATGCATTGTGAGTGTGTGTATGTGTGTATGTATGCATTGTGAGTGTGTGTATGTGTGTATGTATGCATTGTGAGTGTGTGTATGTGTGTATGTATGCATTGCTTTTTCAAGACAGGGTTTCTTTTTTTTAATATAAATCTTTTTTAATGTTTATTCATACAGTGCTCTGTCTGCATGTATCCTTGCAAGCCAGAAGAAGACACCAAATCTCATTACAGATGGTTGTGAGCCACCATGTGGTTGCTGGGAATTGAACTCAGGACTTTTGGACCTCAGGACCACTGAGCCATCTCTCCAGCCCAAGACAGTGTTTCTCCGTGTAGCTCTGGTTGTCCTGGAACTAGCTCTGTAGACGAAGCTGGCCTTGAATTCACAGAGATCCTCTTGCCTCTGCCTCCCAAGTGCTGGGATTAAAGGGGTGCACCACCACACCCTGATGGGAAAGCATTTTATAATGGCAAATATGTAAATCTGAGAGAGACTTTCCCATCTTTTCAGATCCAGATCTTTGGGAATGTGACTGGAGTGGCCTTAGAACTGCTGACATTTTTTTTTAAGGAATGCAGAGTTTCTAAAGTGTAGCCACCTAAGTCTTCTGATTGCAATTACAAGTTTAGATGCCTTAGAACCTAGGTGTTGCTTCAAAGTATATTGTATCTTTTAAATTATGTTAAGAAGACATATGAGTGGCAAGCAAAACCACAGAAAGGAGCTCAATATTACTAATCTTTAAAGAAGCCGGGCGGTGGTGGCGCACGCCTTTAATCCCAGAACTCGGGAGGCAGAGGCAGGCGGATCTCTGGGAGTTCGAGGCCAGCCTGGTCTACAAGAGCTAGTTCCAGGACAGGAACCAAAAGTTACGGAGAAACCCTGTCTCGAAAATCCAAAAAAAAAAAAAAAAAAAAACAAAAAAAACAAAAAAAACAAACAAAAAAACCCCCCAAAACCCCTAATCTTTAGAAGTGCAGATGAAGCTGTAATAGACCCACCTCAAACTCATTAGGGCGCCTACTATCAAGAGAACAAAATTAACAAACATTGGTGAGATGTGAAGAAATCAGAAATTCATGTTAGAGCCAGGCAGTGGTAGCGCACCCCTTTAATCCCAGCACTCGGGAGGCAGAGGCAGGCGGATCTCTGTGAGTTCGAGGCCAGCCTGGTCTACAAGAGCTAGTTCCAGGACAGGCTCCAAAGCTACAGAGAAACCCTGTCTCAAAAAACAAAAACAAAACAAATAAACAACCCCCCCCCCCCGAAAAGAAATTCATTGTTGGAGAGAATGAAAAATGGTACAACCATAGCAGAAAACAATGCCAGGACAAAATAGAATCCCATGTGATCCAGAACCCTTACTCACGGAAGACAGATGACTCACAGAATGAAAGCAAGAACCGGAGGAGATATTTGTACCTGTGTGAGTGTCAGCACAACTTACTGTGGCCCAAAGGTGAAGACAACGCAAGTCCACACACATTGGCAGACAGACAGATACCACGTGGTATGTACATTTGAGTACTACTCAGCTTTAACATTTAGGAAGGGCCTGTGGATGCATGCTACATGGATTAAACATGACAGCTATGCTAAGTGAAAATATACCAATTATATAAAGACAAACATTGTGTATGAAGTACATAAAGTAGCCAACTTTATAGACAGAGGTAAGCAGTGGTTTCCAGGACTATGGGCAGGGTAGAGAAGGGAGTCATCTTTTAATGAGTATAGAGTACATGTTGGCAAGATGAAGAGTCCCAGAGACAGTAGCACAAGATATGAATGTGTGAACACCACCAAACTGTGTGCTTTAAAATGGTTAAGATGCCGAGTGTTGGGGGTTGGAGAGATGGCTCAGGGTTAAGAGCATGCTTAACCAGGGTTGCATTCCTAGCATCTACACAGCATCTCGCAAATGTTTATACCTTAAGATTCTGGGGGACTGAACACCCTCTTCTGTAAACTAGGAATAAAACTGTCCTTTACCTGTCTCAGAGATTCATTGTACAGACTGCATAAGGTACAAGTAACACCCAGATCAACGCAGCACGTGCTAATGAACTCTTTATGTACTTAGAGAGGGACTTTCTGCTTCCTAGGAACTAGGCTATTGTTCGTATTTATTTATTTTTGCCAGAAGAAACGTAAAACAACTCCCTCAAGTTGGAAAGCCAGGACGTGGTCACGATAGGATTCATAGTCAAGCCGCCTTGCTCACAGCCTATGTCCTTAGCCACCGGCTTGCACAGGCTTTTCACACAGCGCTCTTTGATGCCTTTTGACATTTAAATTGGGTTTCATGTCTGAAAGTGGAGAAAACCACCAGTGAGTGGAGAATGGGGTCAACCCTTTCAGGAGTGATAGCAGAAATGGAAATGCCTCTAAAATGGGTTAAGGTTTCACATAAGCCTCCTCGGGGACCTGTCCAACAAGAACAAGGTTTGGCTGTGAGTCACGAGTGAACTATGAGAATAGAGTCCAACTTATCCTTGCTTTGGGTCCTCTGTTGGACTGCAGTGGGGGAAGCAAACCCAGAGATGGGTAGGCAGGCAGAAGGTGTGACTTACCGGCCGGGGCAGACTGTACTGGTACATTTCTGGGCGGTAGGTGGGCACCCACTGTACTCCAGCCCTGGGTCGCGTCATGGTCCCTGGAGCGCTGGTCACCACCTCTGAGTACGGCAGGTGCTGCGTAGAGCCGTAGGCCTCCGGGTGCCGGCTTTGGCCCGCGTGGCCGGCGGATGCCAGGCTGAAGGCCTCCTCCAGAAGCATGTGCATCTGCTGCCGGACTTCATCGATGGAAGGCTGCGAGCTCAGCGTGGAGGTCTCTGAGTGGCCCTTCACCTGCCGTGCCCTGCTGTAGCCCCGGGGCTCATGGACTCTGTCGACATTGGTTTCCTCTATGATCTCGGGCTCAGTCTGCGGGATCAAACAAAGCCCAGCGATTTATTAATGAAACTCTTTCTTGCATCCTAAAATATTCCCTGGGACTGATGAGATAATGAGTCTGTGCTAACTTAGGCCTTATCCAGTGCGCTCTATCTAGGAATTCCCACGGCAGGCGCAGCCGGCTAGGGTTACACAGGAAAGACCGCACTCTGACTGCCATTGTAGTCTACGGGTGCCCACCGCTACACCAGCCTCGCAGACGTGCTAATTAGCATAATAATGAGAAGTGGCTTTCACTGATTAAATTAATGGCATTCTCAAAATCTAGATGCCTTTGGGCATAAGAATCTGGAGCATTCTGTAGTCTATACCCCAACGGATGGTAAATCACTCTAACTGAGCCTTGGTCCAGCCATTGGTTAGGGGATTCCTGGTTTCCTGACTCCATTTATAATGCGAAGCAACACAGTCTTCCTCCTACACAGATGATCTACAGGTATAATGCGTCATGAACGAAAATCCCCGAATGGGGCCCAGCAGCCTGCTTTTGTGAGCAGGCCAGTGTGAGATCTATTGTTCTAGAACACTTTCCTTCACCTGCACCCACCCTTCAGGGAGTAGGGGCGGAACTGAGGGGGATAGACAATGGGATCCCATTAGCTTCCAGAGAGGTCTCCAGTCTGTTAGCTCGCCTGTTGCTGAAGGTGTGTTTAGCAGATTGAACAGCCTGCTCTGCGGGTTGCCTGTGAGGGCTCCTTCTTCACCGGTTCTAAGTAAGTGCTCACTCTGTCATGGCGGCTGTGCACAGAGTTCAAAATGCAAAAAGCAGGAGCAAGGGATGGCTCAAGCGATACAGTCCGCTGCCCCACAGCAGCTACTATGGCAAGGGCCAGATCTAGGCTGCCCCGAGGAGCTAAAAAACGAGGGCGTTAGAGATGTTCCAGCCAGGAAGCTGCTTTCTTTTCACTTCTTCATTTGTAAAAGGACGATGCATTACCTCAGAGGGCCGCACAAGGATTCAGTGAATGTCTCCGTGAAGATTTAGAACTGCGGCACAGGGTACAGACCCGCTAGCCGCCATCGTCAGCGCTCCCATCACCATGATTGCTGTTACACATGAAAGTTCTCATGAATTTGAATTACTATGCATGAGGCACTTGGCTGTGTCAAACAGACACCGCAGGAGGATATCAGGAGGGAATTCATTCGCACAGGGAAGTCCTGCTCTCAAAGATCACAGAAGTCAGAGTTGTGATGTATTCATGTTTGCACTGAATAGTTAGTTCTACGTCAACCTGACACAGCTAAAGTCACCTGAGAGGAGGGAGCCTCAGTTAAGGAAAATGACTGATAAGATCAGGCTCTAGGCAAGCCCATAGGGCATTTTCCTAATCAGTGATTGATGAGGGAGAGTCCAGCCCTTTGTGGGTGGTGCCATCCCTGGGCTGGTGGTCCTGGTTTCTATAAGAAAGCAGGTTGAACAAGCTAGGGGAAGCAAGCCAGTGAGCAGCACCCCTCCGTGGCTTCTGCATCGGCTCCTGCCTCGAGGTTCCTGCTCTGTATGAGCTCCTGACTTCCTTCCATGACAGACCGGGCATGGAAGTGTGAGCCACATAAACCCTCCCTCCACACTTGCTTTTGACCATGGAGTTTCATCACAGCAGTAGTGACCCTGACTAGGATGGTATTTTAAAAGCACGTTCACTTTTCTTTAGTATTGAATGAGTACATACACATTAGTGAAGAAATTAAAAATACAGACAGCACAAAAAAGAAATCAGACCTTTCTTTTATTCTTATTACCTAGAGTTAGGACTTGTAGGTAGTTCAAGATCAAGATTAGGGCTCTCCATGTAGCTTCAAGACTAGATTTATATGAAGAAAGTATGGAATATATACATATTAGAGTACTACTCAGCAGTAAAAAACAAGGACTTCTTGAATTTTGCATGCAAATGGACAGAAATAGAAAACACTATCCTGAGTGAGGTAAGCCAGACTCAAAAAGAGGAACACGGGATGTACTCACTCATGTTTGGTTTCTAGCCATAAATAAAGGACATTGAGCCTATAATTCGTGATCCTAGAGAAGCTAAATAAGAAGGTGAACCCAAAGAAAAACATATAGACATCCTCCTGGATATTAACCTTCATCAGACGATGAAAGGAGACAGAGACAGAGACCCACATTGGAGCACCGGACAGAAATCTCAAGGTCCAAATCAGGAGCAGAAGGAGAGAGAGCACGAGCAAGGAACTCAGGGCCATGAGGGGTGCACCCACACACTGAGACAATGGGGATGTTCTACTGGGAACTCACCAAGGCCAGCTGGACTGGGTCTGAAAAAGCATGGGATAAAACCGGACTTGCTGAACATAGTGGACAATGAGGACTGCTGAGAAGTCAAGAACAATGGCACTGGGTTTTGATCCTACTTCACGTACTGGCTTTGTGGGAGCTTAGGCTGTTTGGATGTTCACCTTACTAGACCTGGAAGGAGGTGGGAGGTCCTTGGACTCCCCACAGGGCAGGGAACCCCGTCTGCTCTTCGGACTGATAAGAGAGGGGGGGTTGATTGGAGGAGGGGGAGGGATATGGGAGGCAGTGATGGGGAAGAGACAGAAATCTTTAATAAATAAATAAATAATTAAAAAAGACTAGATTTATTAGCAAACAACTGTAATAAGCAATTTCAAATATTATTTTTTATTTTAATATATTCAAAAGCAGATAATAGGATATGACATAAAATTATACCTTAAACAAGGATATGTCATGCCACTGAGACTCTTTTAGAGAAAGACCTGCGATCTGATCATTGTCTGGGAAGTGGGTTTTCTGAAGGCCAGCAAATCTAACTGTTAAGATTTTGCCTAAAAGGAAGTTTCTGTATAATGTAGAGAACATTTGGAATTGAAGTTCAAAGCCTCAGGGTCTTTAAGTCAAGTTCCACTGTAAAGAAGAAACTGAGGCTAGAGCAGTTAAATCATTGGCTCAAAGTTGCCTGGAGTGGCGTGTTGCCCTGGGCATATCCCACTGTGCATACAGACTCATTGATGCTGGTTGCTACCCACACATGGTCTTCCTCTCCACATCTTCCATCTCCCCAATACATAATGATGCTTAACGTCAGATTACTCCCAGGTGAGAGATTAATGGCACCGAGGTGAGTGGAGCTACGCCTCTGCAGTCAGAAGAGAGAATATGGCCTTCTGTGAATTTACAGTGTGCGTTAGGCAGGGCAAGAAGAGTGCTCTTCTTGGTAGCATATCTTTCTCTCTCCTCTGGAAGATCCCTGGGGTGGGGCTGTGCAATGCGGAGTGGGGCAGGGCACCTCTCTGAGTTGGGTTAGAGAGGGATAGTTGGGTTAGAGATGGCATGCTCCTGCTGCCATCAGCCACCATGTTGCCCAGCAGAAGTTAACTCTTGAGTCTTACCACAGGGTTTCCACCCTGCTCAGGGGCTTCCTTTACTCTCAGTGTCTGGTGTCAGGGCCCACGACCGTCAAAGACTCTTGTTCTGCCCCAGTTCTCAGTTGGCTTTCAGTCTTTCCACAGATGGAAACAAGGTTAGCTCCCACCCACTCCCGCTTCTCATGGATACACTTGTATTTGCTTAATGTCTGTCTTGCCCCCCACCGGACACTCCCTGAACCCACGGTACATCTGTTTCTCACGAGGTCACCATAAGGCACTTGGCATTCAATAATATTTTTTAAATATATTTATTTATTTATTATGTATTTGATATTCTGTCTGTGTGTATGTCTGCAGGCCAGAAGAGGGCACCAGACCTCATTACAGATGGTTGTGAGCCACCATATGGTTGCCGGGAATTGAACTCAGGACCTTTGGAAGAGCAGGCAATGCTCTTAACCACTGAGCCATCTCTCCAGCCCCATTCAATAATATTTTGAGACTTGATCTGGCTTTAGAAGTTCCATCCAGTTCCCCATGGGGTGTGTCTGAAGTTAAGATGGAAGGTCCACTTTCTTTATCACAATTCCTATGCTAATGAGCTGAACAACACACGGGCAAGCTGCGTGGACTCCCTTGGACTCAGGATGCCGCTCTCCGTAGTTCAAATGAACTACTACCTGGCATTTACCATCTGCCCTGGCAAGTTTTATGTCACCTTCACACAAGCTAGAGACATCTGAAAGGAGGGAACCTCAATTGAGAAAATGTCTCCATGAGATCCAGCTGCAAGGCATTTTCTTCATTAGTGACTGGCAGGGGAGGACCCAGCCCTTTGTGAGCCTGGTTACCTGGGCTGGTAACCCCGGGTTCTACAAGAAAGCAGGTTGAGCAAGCTATGAGAACAAGCCAGTCAGCAGCACCCCTCCATAGCTTCTGCATCAGCTCCTGCCTCCGGGATCCTACCCTGCTCGAGTTCCTGTCCTGACTTCCTTCAATGATGAACAGTGCTGTGGAAGCGTAAGCCGAATAAACCCATTCCTCCCCAAGTTTTGTTGATCATAACGTTTCATCATAGCAATACAATCCTTAACTAAGACACCGTCTCTTGAACCCCAGCAGCCCTAGGAAGTGACACATCCCTCCTAACACCAGTCCCTGGAACCATCTGATGTCCACTCAGGAAGGGACCACCTTCCATGACCTCTGCTTGCAGCATAAATCATAGGTTTCTTTTCCTCACGGGACAATTACTGCTCTCAGCCCTTAGTTGTTTTTTAGGCTTCATTATGAATACACCAATTAAAAAAATTGTGACCTGGCCCTGAAGGAGTAGAGACAAATAACAACAGTAATGATATCAGCTGCCAGTGATGAGTGGCTTATATGCCAGGCACTGGTCTCTGAACTTTGTATGCATTGGCTCGTCTTACTCTTACAATAACCCATGTAATATTAATGAGTATGATTATTTTTAAAGTATAGATGAGCAAATTGAGGCACTGAAAAGTCAAACAGAAAGCCCTTATCCATTGTACATATACAAATAGATCTCTTACCACCTGGTAGTTGTATGTTCTGACCAAAGCCAGAACAGACTTCTGAGACAAGAA